TTAGAGTGAATAAAAGATTAAAAGGAAAAGGAATAGTAGGAAATAGGGGCTGCCGAAGCCTCAAAACAAAACTAGAGTTAGAAAGCTAGAGAAAAAGGAGTATCAAATTTGCTAGTATAGCGTTGCATCCTTATGATTTAAAACCATCTAAATCCATCCAAATTTTACACAGCTCGGTGTTATCTTATACCTAAAATAATTTAACTTCGTCTAAACACTTTTATTCATAGTTTGCTTTTAATTTTTATGTTAAGTGCCCTAAACCCATTATAAATTATTGAAATTTCTTTTCACCAATATATATATATATATATATATATAGAAATTTCTATCAGAATTCACTCTTTTTCATATTGTATGTTCTCAAACCTTGCAGAAAAAATTTTGTCGGGCGATGTAATTTATTTTCGTTAATCCAAATATTCATTGGTATTTTCTTAATACAATCGTCAAAATTTTTAAAGCTTAACGAATATAAATTGTAAAAAACTATTGAAATAATAGCGTAAACCTATAAAAATATCATTAACTTTTTAATTTGTTGTAAAATCAGTCTAATTTGATATTTATACCCTGAATAATCTCATTTTGAGACTTAAATATATTAACACCTTATTTTGAAATTAGGCTAAAGGTTTGAAATAAAACAATATAAATATGAAACTCAAAGTACAACCTTGTGTTAACTTCACCCAAGGTCTTAAACCTCTCCATTTTGATAATGCAATTCACTCCGGAACTTAAACATCTTCCCTTCTTTCTAAAATTATAGTCTCAAATATTTTTAGAATACAACAACTATTCAATATCACAAATTAATACCATTACTCCATCCTATAAATTAAATCTATTCTAGGAAATGACTTATGTGGAAAAAATAAAAACAATAATAAATATTAATTGTTATTTCATTAAAATAATTTATTTTTGAAAAATATTATTCCCAAAAATATATTTTTCTTGAAAAATATTTTTCAAATAATTTATTTCCGTTATTTGGTTGTAATCATTAAAAATCAATTAAAAATAAGTATAATTATAGAAATTTAATGTTTTAAAATTATATTATTAAATATGGTAAAGATTATAAAGATGATAAATTATAATAGTCGTCAATTACCGGCCGTAACCAATAAATGATTAATGAATTAATAAATATGCATTTATAATATTATAATACGTTTGTCAATATCATGGAAAAATATTTTCGTCTCTGAAAAAGACGTAAAGTCATTTTCTTTAAAAATGACTTAATTTCTCTTTAACCATGAAAATATTTTCCGTTCATCGATTTTCTTGAACATCCTGAATATTCAAAAATCTAAAAAATATTTTTCAAGCTAGTTATTTTTTGGAAATAAATAGAGCTCTAGAAAATAAAAATAAAAATAAAAATAAAAATATATATTCAACCTAGTAACAAATATTCTTATCAAATTACATACTAAAAATTCTTTATCTTTGCCATAAAATTTTTTCTATGCCAATTTACCCTCTAATTTATATCTTCTAGGAGAACGTAAACGTGCGTTTGATCAAAAGTTTCATTACTTTTGATAAACTAAATTTAATAAATATCTTTTACTTATTTGGACAAAGCTCAACCGTTTAACCAGTACTACCTAATTGGAAAGAATTTCTACAAGGAAACAAAAAAGGGATTCTCATTCAACAAATTTGCATCGCCATTGTTTTATTCAACAATTTCAACTTTCCCAATGGAAATCAAATTGTTCTATATTGATTTTTTGGATTACTTACTGGATTTGAAGTCACCATCACAAAACGCGTTGAACAGGATTGTTTTGTTTTCTTTTTCTTTGGTTTCGTTTTTCGTTCTTGTGGAAAGAGGTTTTGAACGCTAAGTCTAGATGTCATGATTCCTAGGAATTGAAAATCTTGGAATCCTATTGTCTTTGTCAACAACTGGAACCATTAAACTATCACGTGTTCCTATTTAAGGATACAAAAGCATAGGTTTTCAAATTTGGTTCTTCGCAAAACAATTTTTTATAAGTAGATTTAATGAAAATGTTATATGCTATTTTTTATTTTAATGTTTAAACTAATTTTCAGATATTAAGTATAATTTTATAATATAGTTTTTAGTGTTGCATTCAAATACTCTCAACCAGTTATACATTACTAAAAAACAGCTAATAATTATCAAAACAATTAATTTTACTGAATATGTCAGGAATTAGAGTCTTCCATCCATGTATATAAATTTTACAAGGTGATTAAAAATATTAATTTATTTTTTAAAATTATAATAAAAAATTCATTAATTTGACTCAATTACCATTTATTTCACATCACTGATAAATTAATGTATTTAATATATATAAGGGCAAAACAAAAAAATCATTAACTACTCTTTAATATTTTCAAAAACTGATTTATATTTATGGATAAAAAAATTAGTTTAAAAGGGTTTACCAAATTGTTTAGACTTTCTGGGTTCTTTTTGTTAGAAAAAAAGAAGACATAAACCACTTTTCTATGGGTGAAATGTCTTTGATTTCTTAATTCATCATAGTGGCAACTTTTCATTGATAACTGTAATTAGCTATCTCCCAAAGCATCATAATTTAAGCATCATGTTTCATTTATTTTATTTTGTTATTTAGACAGTATTAAGAATGAAATTCAAAAAATTTTCTAGAATTGGAGATTTTTTGCTTTTCGAAAATTACCATATTAGACTTGCCCAAAGACTATTGAATCAAACATTAACTATAAAGTAGCACCAAATGGTGTATTTTTACTGCTATGCATTGTACAAATTAAACTTGTAAATAATTTAATATTTTTAATTTCAATTTCAATTTCAATTGAATACTTAAAAAGTTTCATCTCTACCTAGCTCCTAATGATGGAAGAACGGCATAAAGAAAATGGATTTTTCTATCAAAATAATGTATGAAAAAAATTCATTTGCCTATCTAATGTAATATTTAAATTAATGTTTATGAAAAAAAAAATCAAATTTTCCATCAAAATTAAAAATATTTAAATATATATTATAGATAATATATAATATATATTGAATTCTATATATATTGAATCTATCATCCAAGCTAAAGGTTTAATGTATGATCTTCTTATGCCTTGCGAAAGCAACATGCGTTTTAAAAGTACTAAAACATTTAATTCAAGTGGAAATTTCATCGCATCATATAATGTATTTAAACTGTCAATTTGACAGATAGTTTCAATACATTGATATCGTGCACTCATATGTATTTTTTTAATTGACTGAAATTAAAAAAATAAGCCCAAGAGAATGAAATGAATCCTGTGGATATATAAAGCTTATGCAGTAAGTGAAATCTCAAATGTAGCATATGTTATTGCCTTTTTTATCAGAAAAGGCTGAAAAAGAGTAGAGAAAGAAATTAAATCAATGACAAGCGGCAATCTGTATCATGTAGGGAACAAAAGGCTTCCAAAGCAATGATGCTTCCATAAGAGCTTTCATCAACAAAGCCTCCCATGTGCTTCAAGAATTGGCAGCAGAGCTATCATTGCCTTCTTCCTTTTCAGATTTTGGGGTAGGAAAAGTTCTCTTTTTTTTTTTTTTTTTTACTTTTTTGAGATAAAGGGTAGAGAAAGCTTTAAACATTTTTTTACCTTTCATATCCTGGTCTGAGCCATATCTGCCCACTTTGACCTTTGAACCATGTCTCTTTAACTTTTTATGGATTCAGCCACCAATGCCAAGATTTCCAATCTGGGAATCCTTTGCTGTTACCCTTTTACAGGTTTTTTTCTTGGGGTTTTCAAGTGTAAATAATCTCAATTGACGATAAATGATTTAAGAGGTCACATAAATCCAAGACAAGTGCAATTGAAAGCCCAAACCCAAACAAAGCCCATTGGACCTATCTAGTATTAGTAACGAGCTGTCATGTTTTTAATTTGATAAAAAGCCCAAACCCAAAAAGCTACTTCTGAACTTGTTTAATCACCACTGCTATACGACATCGTCTACTCTCCAACCTGTGTATAGTTGTATCCTCCATTTGCGAACCTCGCTTCGATTTATTAGAAGCCAAATTTGACGTTTTTGGAGTGGAAGGACACAACCAGTTCAAGTAAGCTCTGGTTTGTGTTATGTTTTTGTTGATTCTGTTGATGTAAAGACATATCGGGTTTAATTTAATGTTCCCAATTGGCTGATTTGTGGTTGAATGCATGAGGTTTTTATACTCCGAGAGGCCTACTTTGTTCTTGTTTTACATGGATTTAATGCACTTTCGTCAAATTATTTGAAAGTCTTGATTTTTTTTTTTTTCTTTTTTTAGTTCTACAATACTACAGTGTAATTGGTTGCATTGCTTGAGGTTCTTATTAGAGTTTCAAATTCTTGGAACTGACTACATTTGAACTCAACATGCAAATGTTTATTTTTGCTTTAGAATTTTTGAATTAGCTTAATTTGGAAAATAATCTCAGAAGGTAGTTGGTTTTCTTTTTCAAATTAAATTAGTCGTTGATCCAAAAACACAGCCACCTTTGATCTTTCACTTATCAACCTAGCAGCCCATAAGATATCCAAGAGTGTACAGTGGAACATGGTTAGTCAGCAATAGGATCCTAATCCTATTACACAAGATTCATTAGTTTTTTGTTGTATGGTTGTTATGTTTTGACTGGACTCAGTTGTTGCAGATTGCAATTAAAAAGTCCTTTGAATTCTCATTTTTCTAGATTAGAGAACTTGGATTCTCGAGACCCATGTGTTGTGCTGAAATACCTCCTCCTCCTTTTTTAATTCATCGAAAGAAAGTCTACAAATTTGAAAAACAAAAACAAACCTATCCATGACCATAACTCAAATATTTGAAACTCAGAACAGAGAATGAAAAGAAATAGTATTTTCTGGGAGTGTAAGCTAAATACAAAAAAAAAAAAAAAAAAAAAAAAAAAAAAAAAAAAAAAAAAAAAAAAAAAAAAAAAAAAAAAAAAAAAAAAAAAAAAAAAAAAAAAAAAAAAAGAAGGAAAAATCGTAATATTGTTAACTTCTTCTCCATAATTATCTGTTTCATTCTATCAATAATATTTACAGTATGAAATGTAACAATTAAGGACAACAAAAATTATAAAAGAACTTTGAATGTTTGATTTGAAAATTGAGACTTCAAAGGTCGGCTAGTCTGACCTAAGAAGGATTGATCATACCCCAGACTGTAGGCCATTCTATGATCTACACTATGCTCATACTAGAACTGCTGGTTCTTGATCTGTCGCTTGTTGTTGAACTGTTATGCCAAAAAGGTGGTCTTAATGATTCATGACCGAGTGGCATTGGCCTGTCTGGTAATGTGGGGATGTCAATATCACCCTCTAGCATCCTAAGAGCATCAGCAATGGTAGGTCTAAATGCCACCATTACATGAGCACAAAGAATCCCAACAAGAACAAATCTCTTCATGATTCCTTTTGGTCCCTCCGCTCTTATTGTCTCATCAAATATCTTTTCTATATTTCCTGATTTTGCTAGCATCCATGCCCAGTCTGTAATCAAAAGAAAAGATGAATTTGCTGTATCAAGAACCTTCCTTCCACTCATAATTTCAAGGATCACAATTCCAAAGCTATAAACATCGCTTTTCTCTGTTAATTGCCCATATAGAGCGTACTCTGGTGCTAAATAACCATGTGTGCCTGCTACCCTTGTTGTTAAATGAGACTGACCGTCTAAACTTTGCTTAGCTAATCCAAAATCTGCAACTTTTGCTTTCATTTCCTGGTCTAGTAGTATGTTAGTAGTCTTAATGTCACGGTGGTAAATTGCAGGTTTGAGACCATAGTGCAAGTAAGCAAGTCCCTTAGCCACATCAAGAACAATATTCTTTCTCTGAGGCCAAGTTAATTGTTTCCTGCTATAGTCACTGGACAAATGATCACTAAGACTACCATTAGACATGAAATCATAAACAAGATATCTTCTTTTACCTTTCAAGTGATCGCTTGCAACACAACATCCTCGAAGAGAAAGAAGATTTCGATGTCTGATTTTGCTAATTATCTCAACCTCATTGGAAAATTCTTCATCTCCTTGTGAATCCAAATCCTGCATTTGTTTCACTGCAATAATAGTGCCATCTGCCAAAGTCCCTTTATACACAACTCCATAAGTTCCTTGGCCAATGAAATTCTTTTGCAAAAATCCATTAGTAGCTCTTTCAAGTTCTGATAGGTGAAACCATTTTGCACCAGAATTAGGCAACACACTAGCTCTAAAACTGCTTACATATTCCTCATGTGGAGCATTAAGCTTCTTTTTCCTATTCCATCTCCTGTACCAAAGAATTATTCCAAAAGCAAGTAAAGCACCGACAAAAGCTCCTACGAATCCAAAAACCAATCTGAGTGAGTTATCTTTTTTTGAACCTTTTGATTTCTTGTTAATTGCAGAGCCTGACAATGGTAAGCCTAGCATGCAACCAGCTGTTGTAGGATCCAACGGACCAAACTCATTGACGATTGCAGCAGCATATAAACAGGTGAAGAAAAAACATTTAGAGGTAGCATTTGGGTTTATACTTGTTAATTGAGAAGTAACCTTTTGGCCAGCATCAAGACATGAACTGCATTGCAATCCCGATACATCACCTTTACAAGATGTCTGCAAAGAGGTAATCGGACCTACCTTTTCTATCCAGTCTTGTGTATTTATTATTCCAGCACAACTGGAACTGTTACTAACAAATTGATTTGAACTGTTGAAGCAGATAGGAACAAATGATGGGTCTACAGACATGGCAGCAAGCCTTGTTTGAAAATCGGATAAACAAGAAGATGAAGCAGTTTCATTAGGAAGTTGAAACATTGAAGTCTCTCTTAGATGTTGAGCTATTCCCATGCCAAAAAGGCTAAGAAGAGTCAAACAGCAGTGGCCTTCATCAAGTTTGTGACATCCAGATGTGTCCCATGGAGTGGTTTCAACATAGCTGAGATCTACAGGACAGGAAGAGGAAGATGAAGCTGAATCAATGGAAGAAATGGCGAGGAAGAAGAAGAAAAAGAAGAAGGAGAAGAGCTTATTGGCCATGGTTAGTTCATAATTGTTCAAAAATCAAAATAATAATGTATTGGAGTTATAACATAAACAAAAGTATATGAAGCCCGTTATTAAAAACTAATCAAAAATGGCTGGCTGGGTAGCTAATATATGGTCAAAGTGCACGTTTTGTTTTTAAGTTGGACACGCAATTACTTAATTTGTTTCATTTCCTTGGGGGTGTTGTTCAAGGCCACTATAAACTAAGATTCAAAAGGGGAAAAAGAAACAAAAGGTGGAAGTTGCCTTGTCATTTCTTTCTATGGCAGTGGGGTAGCAAGGGCTGTGTCTCAAACCAGCCCTATAAAGGGTTATCTTGTGCATAAAATTGAGATTGATAGTTGCATAAATAGATCCTAGTGGGAAAAAAAAAATATCCAGTTCATGTTGATTATATTGATGGCAACCTGCTTTTTTTTTTAATCAAATCTTCAATTTGATTAACAATAAGTTATTTTTTTTATCAAACCAGATAATTTAACAGTGACAACTATGAAATTTTAATTTTTAAATTATTTAAAATCGGTTATATGAATAATTTATTTTAATTCGGCTATTTTTAGAGCTGCATTGATCTAGAATTTATTCTATCCATAATTAAAAATTTAAAACCCATTAAGAAAAATGCAAATCTTTATATCAACTAGACATGAATTTCTAATTAGTGAATTAATATTTAAATGCATTAATTTTCATGCCTTCACATGTTGCCTCCACTCCACTGATATGGGCATTTAATTAATGGATAGGAAGAAATGAAGGGAACAGGACAAGGTCAAGGCAGGCCGATGGCCTTTAAAGACAAATTTGACCTGTTGCATTATTGTTATGATTAATTCAAAATAATATTATGAAAAATCCGTTGAGATTTCAATTTTATTTAGTGCAGATTTTCTGCATAGAATTTGATATTTTTGTTATTAGGATTGAAGTTCAATTTATTAGCAGATTTTCTGCCATAGAATTTTATTATTTTGTTATTAGGATGATGATTTTTAGATATTTAATTATTTCTTATTTGATCACTTGGTAAGCCGATAATAGACCACATTTCTTTTGTAAATTCAATGGAGTGCAAAAACATTTGAATGCGTTTAGACATGTTAAATCATTTGTTGCCAAATTTCCATTCTCCCTTTCAATAATTCAAACATGCTAATCAAGCCTGTCTGTAAATATGGCCCACAACACACTATTCCAATTTCCTTCCCTAAAATTTTCCTAACATGTATTAGAGTCCCCGTCTCTTAAATTCCACAAACACTATTCCATTTCTTCCCCTCCAATTTTGTTGGTGAAAATTACACTATGGGCCTGTTACTTGTAAGCCTATAAATAGGCACATTCTTTTGTTAATTTAATGAAGTGCAAAACATTATTAATCATCTTGTACATTTCCATTTTTCCTTCTAAAATCTCAACATGGTATCAAAGCCTTGGATCCAAACTTGCATGAGAGAAGTTTTCGTTCTGGGTCGTACTTTGGTATCAGAGGAAGAAACTTTTTTTTGAGTATTGAAGAGATGTGCTCCAAGAGAACAATATTGGAGAGATGTGCTTCAAAATAAAGAAAGTGATGAGAAGTGTATCAATATTTGAAGAGAAGTGCTTCAAAAAAAAAAAGAACAATTAAAATTCATTTGGTAGTTTGATGAGAAGTGCATCAATATTTGGTGAGAAGTGCATCAAAATGATGAGTTGGAGAGATGTGCTTCAACAAAATTAATTGAAGAGAAGTTTTTCAAACGCTAGATTAAAAATTTTTAATTGTTAATTATTGTAATAAAAAATATTATGTTTGAATTAAGAGAGAATGTTAGGATTAATTCAAAATAATATATTTAGTGCAGATTTTCTGCATAGAATTTGATATTTTTGTTATTAGGATCGATGATTTTTATGAGTATTTTTAGATCTTATTTGATTCACTTGTAAGTATATAAATAGGCACATTCTTTTGTTAATTCAATGAAGTGCAAAACATGAAGTGTTAGACATTGTTAATCATTTTGTGCATTTCCATTCTTCCTTCAAAATCTCAACATGGTATCAGAGCCTGTCTCTGTTAAATGGCAACACTATTCCATTTCCTTCCCTAAAAATTTCAACAATTATTACATATTTTTATCTAACTTGTTGCACAGTAACTGAGTTAGAAATCCAATTAAGTCCCTGAGTTTTGAAAATCCACTTGGATTGTCATTCTTCAACTTGTAATGGTTATCCACCAACCAGAAGTAATGGCAAAGCCATGGATTTGAGATCCAAGTAACGGGTCATTGGAGCAAGCTTTGAGGGCAAGGGAGATACTAACTTCATCAATGCTACTAAGAAGGTGTTTCTTGAAGATATGAATGGCTTGAAATGGGAGATTTTTGTGTATAGAATCGAGCATAGACCTGTGAATGGAAACAACATTTGGTAGAGGATTTTTATCGAACAGTTGGCTTGCATTGTTATATGTATGAAGGTTTTTTAAAGTAGATGACCGTTGCTTGGCGATTCTGTGTAGGGTATTAGAAAATGGTTGGTGGATAACCATTACAAGTTTAAGAAGGAGATAATCCGTTTAGCATCCCTTAACTTCTGCATTTACCGCCATCTCCATGCGCGCCTTGGTAAAGCTAAATAACAATTACCTACTGCTTCTGAAGGATATCTACTTGTCTCGCTTTGTAGAAAACACGCAAAACGACGTTCTTTCCCTTTGTCCGAATAAAAAAGAAGCTTTTTCCTGTCAGGCATAAACGACAGGAAATATTTTCCTTGTCGTCCAACGTTTCCGCAGTTAAGAAGTAAGAACAACATGTCCATCTATCTGCACTTATTTCAAGTTATGATCTCTTTTCAAAAAAAAAAACATTTTCACGGATGAAGTTATTGATTTTGCAAAGATCGTACAATGAACTCAGGTATCTATTACCATTTTTTTAAAAAATTCCATTAACTATTTTAGAAAATATAAACAAAAATAAAAATACATTGGATTCTATCTTTTATTTATAATTAAAGAGAGAAATTGGAGTAAAATGTTATATACAAGAAGACACACAATAACTTTATTTTAAATAATTTGTGTTTGAACTTAAATATTTAGGTTGAAGGAATTATTTTATGTTTTTCATTTTTAAGTAAAAATTACTTAAATGTTTTTTCAGGTTAAATATTTAGGTTGAAGGAATTATTTTATGTTTTTCATTTTTAAGTAAAAATTACTTAAATTAATTTTTTATATAAAAAATATAAAAATAAATGTACTATTCATTTGGGCTATAATTTTCTTTATGCAAATAATTCGTTCAAAATTCTGTCATTTTGAGAAGATTAAAGAATATTAATTAACTGTTTTCAATTCTATTTTTTTCACGATTTCTTAAAAAATCTATTTTGTCGCTTCTCTCTTTCTCTCTCTTAATATTAGTGGTAGATTAACGAAGAGAGAATTATTGAAATTTGAATAATTATGAGAAATAGAAAACAGAGATAATTTAATCAACTTAAAGAGTATTTTTTTTTATAATTTAAATTTAATTATGTGCTTTAATTACATGGACTTAGGCTAAAATGTGTTATAATGAATTTGATGGGATAATTCATACCTCCTCAAGCAAAAATAATTTTAAAATTTTTTACTTTTATATATAAAATATTAATTTCACATGTCATATAGTGTATGGAACAATAATTTTTACAAAAAATAATATTGAGTATAAATCCAATCAATATAATTAAAATATGTGGAGTAAAAAAATAGTACTCTCACTATTTAGATAGGAAAAATTGAATTTGCACAAAGGATTAATGTAGTACTTAAACTATAAGTTTTGGCTATTTTTTTCTTGATATACACCCAATATAATATTAACTCCTACCCATATTTCTATATAAGATTGCACATAGATGAAAGAGAAATTGGGTGCAATAATTTCGAATTAAAGGAGTGATTTGGCGTCCATTTATCCATTCATAACCGAAAATGAAATTTTGAATCTATTTTGGAACGTGATCACGTGTTAATCAAGCAAAACTTTCACTGATTTTAAATTTTGTGTTCCACTTAAAAATTCATACCTTACTAGCAAAAGAGATGTGTGCGCCTTTTATGCCTTTTTGAGCACCATTTTCTATCAAAAAATTATAGAGCACCAATATCAATATTTTTTAGGATTTTTGGTTTTTATTTATAAAATATCAACTTGATATGTAGTTACCATGACTTTTAGAACAATAATTTTCAAAAATTTCAACTTTCAATAAGTGTTTAACTATTTTAATTTTGCAAATTAAAATTTTCAATAAAATAAATTTTCGCTTGGACCTTGCTTTGTCGAAAATTCCTTCTATGATTTCTGACCTCATCCATGAGATGCAGTTGACAATAGAATAGAAGAAGACATGGCAAAAGAAAGGGCTTACCCTATGACTTAAACCTGGAATGAATGCCTTAAAGCACCTAGTCCGACATCGACAACTCCAACTGAAATTACCCCGAAAGAAGACACCTACGGCATGGGCTTTATAAACCGTTAACTTCTTTCACAATTTCTCCAGCTATATATAATAAGTTAGACTTTCCAGAATTAGCCCAGCTATATATAATAAGTTAGACTTTCCAGAATTAGCATTTCACCCAAAAATTAAAAGTTTAATAGGTGTAATTTTATAAATTGAAGTGTTTGATTGGTCAAAATAAAAATTAAGGATACAATAAAGTTAAATTAACAAAATTTAAAGGTAAATATATGTATTTAGCCGAATTTTATTAGTCGCTAAAATATTAATTCTTCCGTGACTAAATGCAATGATCTAAATATGGCTCTAAGACTTAACTGTTTTTGAAGTTATTAAAATAACTGGATCAAGCTTGTAGAGAAGCTGTGAGTTTTTCTTTTATTTGATATATTTCCTTCCTAGTTTTTATTAATTTGATTGAGCATCTGAAAATAAGAAAGAGAAGAAGAAAAAAAAAAGAAGAAAAGAATATAAGATCCTCTCATAAAACAACTTTACTAATTCAGACCACGATTTTATTCAGGTTTGTTCGTGTAAAGAGTTCGATTGATCCAAAAATTTTAATTTAGAAATTTAAGTGACTCAAATTAAAGCATAGTGATTCAATTGAACTTTTTGCAAAGTTAAGGGGTTAAATTGAATTTTACTCCATAACAAGTACATCAAACTCTTGTTCACGCATGGTGACGAAAAACGTGTCGTCTAACTACTTATCTATTACCCTAATTCAACTTCAGATTGTCGGCGGGTCTTTTCTTTGCTTTTCACTTTTCTCTTGCTTTTTTTTTTTTTCTTTTTTTTTTTTTCTTTTTTTTTTTTTTTTAAATATTTTAGACTTTATAAGTTTAATATAACAAAAAGAAAAACAAAATGTATAATGTATATAAATCCGCAACATTTTTTTTTTTTTCTTTTTTTTTTTTTAAATATTTTAGACTTTATAAGTTTATATAACAAAAAAGAAAAACAAAATGTTATAATGTTATATAAATCCGCAACACAATAATCTTTTTTTTGTATTGAAATATTTAAGCTTTGTTTGATAAGCTTGTAATATAATACCAATGCAATGAAATTGGTTATGATATAATGTTATAGTACTAAAAATGTCTTTAATTGCATTATATTAGTATTGCATTTATAATTTCTTATTTTTGTTTGAAAATGAGAGGAAGGAAAATAATGAAAACAGAAAAATAATGACAATTTTTGTCAATTTCCTTTATGTATTATTTTCCATTATTGTATTTGAATATAAAAAAATAAAGAAAATAATTTATTTTTCTTTATTTAGAAAGGGCAAAATTTTAGAGGAAATAAAATATCATTATTAAAAATTAATAATTATACCCTCATTTATTTTTAAACAATAAAACATAGTTCTAGTTATTTTATTAAATTACTCAAATACACTAAAAAAACTAATATAATGTAATAACCAAGTACTCAAACACCCAATAAGCTAGTAATATTATGTGACATAATGTAACATATAAAAAAAAAAAATTTATACTATGCATGCTTTTAATTACACCTTTTGATCTCCTAGTAAAAAAAAAAAAAAAAAAAGTGACAATGAAAATTCTTTCTTCTTGTTGAAGGATACGCGGTATTGCTCAAAACAACTTTGATGATTAAAAAAATTCAATGTTGAAATATTAACATTACAACCTCTTCTTAGCAACTTGAAAACCTAATCTTAACATGAAAGTAAAATACTTTAGAAGTATACTTACTAGTTATATACATATAATTAATTTGATACAACAAACTATCAATAAAGAACAAGCTGACTTGCTCATGAATCTCTGGCAATGGCATAGTCTAATGCCATCCACCTCATAATGCAGTTTAGCCATCGCAGTCTATAAGAAATTAGTACCAAAAAAAAAAAAAGTTTTTTTTTGTTTAGAGCATAAGAATAATTAAAGTTAAAAAGAAATGATAATTTATAAAGCAAGTTGCTTTAATTTGGGTTAAGCCAATCATACTACAGTTTATGGCCTACCACTTAATAACACGTTTACGCACCACCGCTTGACCTCTATAGTCTTTCTCTCCCAAAACTCAGACTCTCCCCTGAAAATCGAAATTTCCTCTTACATATTTCCGGAAAATTTTCTCTCCTTAGTTTCTTCATCATTCAATTCCCGCCATTTTGTCTGCGCCATTTGTACCCAAATCCCCAATTTTCTTTCATTCTCATTTTCATTTCAAACAAACAAAGAAAGCAGGAATAAAACAAAAATCCTCTGTTACGGATCCCCTTTTTTTTGCTTTGTTTCACTCAAATTTCATAGTTTGTTTATAGATTAAACACGACCCAATTCTCAAAGTTATGTTATAAACACTATCTGCGTTGGAAGTCCCTTTTTTTTTTTTTTCATAGCCTGTTTTGTTGGGTTTTGCACAACCTCCCTACAGAAACTAAATTTCTAGCACATTCAAGAACATAGAGACACTTTTCAAGATCCAGATAACAACCAATGTCTAGGATCAATCTATAATTCCCAATTCCTTCTATTTGTGCCTTCATTCTATTTCTCATGTATAGGAACTTTTCAGTTTTGTTTATGGGTTGGATCGAAAGGAATCCCTGTATAACATGAAACACATGTGTAGTTGCACCAGAATCTAACCACCAGGTATTGTTAGGTACTTCAATAAGATTTGATTCAAAACATACTGAAACATAAAGTATACCTTTCTTTTCAAACCAAATCTTCCTTTTAGGATAGTCCTTCTTTATTTTCGAATTCTAATTACTCAAGTGCTAAATCTTCATTTGATGGCGACATATTGGGTGGGTTAAACTTAAACAGCTCGAATTCTACTAGCTCTGATGATATTTTTGGGTCTTTTGGTTCTAAGTCTAAGCAGAGTGCACCAATTGATGACCTTTTTGGGAATTTTGGTGCAAAATCCAAGACTCAAAACCAGAATATATCTGCTGGTTTTGATGATTTGATACCAGGATTTGGTTCAAGCAACTCATCAAACAAAGGGTATGTGACTGTTCTGTAAAAATTTAATCTTTTTCAATAGTTACTTGATGGTTTTGTTCTGTTTGCTAAATGCCAATGCTTAATGTTTTTTCAATTACTTTGAGGAAGTGTTTTCTGATTATTTTTTATTACGTTTGAGAATGTGATGGTGCAGTTATGTTGTTGTAGATTGTTCTGTATGCAAATGAATCTCTCATTTACAAAGATGTTTAGATTGATAGGTTTAAATGCTACTGACGTTTTATTTGAACTTAAGTAGTGCTTTCCCTCTTCATTTATTTTGTTTTAGTTAATGCTCAATTTGTTACAAAGCAATAGCATTCAACCATTGCAATGTCTTGCTCTGTTGTCATGCATGGAAAGTGTACTGGAGGGCTGAAAGACTTGTTTGAATAAAACAAATTGCGTGGAAAATATACATATCATATATGTCACTTGCTAAAAGCAAAAATTCCTTACACTTTTTGCAGTTTATTTATATATTTAAAGCATAAAAGATATGTGTAAATGTAAGCATGAATGCTGAACAACTCAGCATAGTAGTCCTATTGGCTTATATAAATTATTAAGCGATCTGGAGAATTTAACTGTGTTCCCCTTCGACCTTTGGTGTTGTCTTCATACATATTTGTCGAACATCACATGTATTTTTCATATTCAGCACTGCGAGAAACTTAAGGGGTTTCTTTATCATACACTCACACAAAATACTCTGTGATGGCTAGTTTATTCCATAAACCTTAATGCAGTGTGCGGCTTTGAATTGATTTTGTAACTGGTCAGTTTTTTCCTATATTAATTTTCTAAAGCATATTAGTTAATTAACTGATCACTCTAATATCATGGTGTCAGTATATTACTAAGATTAATTTTTTATATGATGATGTGATACAATTATGGTTGCGAAAAATGGATTGCCTTTATTTATTTTCTCACTCTTTTGGCACAGAGAACATACAGGGATGAATAAATCAACATTCACCTTAACAGACGATCCATTTGTAGTGTTAGAATCAACTTCAACTGCAACAAAATCAAGTTTCACAGATCCTCTGGAAGAATTCAATAAGCTGAGCCATTCCAGAAGCACGAAATCCACGGGGTCATCAAATTTCTCCCCCTCACTAAAGCCCCCTCCAAAACCAGGACAAGTTTTGAAAAGCGAAAAAGGTTCTGCATCCTTCAGTGGAAATAATAGTTCAATATAAAATTCTTTATTTTCTTATTCTTTCTCATAACCTTAGTATCACTGAAATGCTTTGACATGCAGTTAAAGCTTCAGATGTGTCTTCCATCGATGAACTTGAAGATTTTGCTATGGGTAGGGTGCGAAATAATGCTGGTGGACGTTCAGATGTTCACTATGCTAAGGAAGTAAGGGATGGACAAACTGCAAAAGCAAGCAAATATAAAGAAGCTGAAGATGCTGCAAAGAAGAATCAGCAAAAGAGTGCAGATGATATTGAATCCTTTTTTAGCATGGGTTCTCGATCCACAAGTGCACCAAAGTCAAGGACTGCAACTTTGGTAAGAACAATTGTTATAAAGCAACTGGTTTATGCAACAAAAGCAGAATATTTTATTTGTTTCCTGCTGCAATTGTTAGGACCCTTTATTTGATGCAAAGTCAAATGGCAGAGGAGAGCCTGTAGTAACCCAGAAGAAGTCTAGCTTTGCCTCATCTGGGATAAGGAAGGCTTCTTCTACAACAAATATAATTGATGATTTTATGTTTGGAGGTATTTTGTTGCTGAAGTTCACTTTCTTTTGTAGCACTGCTGGTTATATTTTGGTGCATCCCTCTTATCTAATATTTTGATTAATGTTTTGTCCCTGAAGATGCCTCATTATTTGGAGAATTTGAGGAAGTAGAAGGGGAAAGTGAAGAACGACGAAGAGCCAGATTGGGACGTCACCAGAGGACTCAGGATCGTGTGGTGTGTGTTTTTCCCTGTTCATTTTCTGTTTCCTTAGATGGTATTGGTGGATGTTTTTATATTTTTGCTAATTGGCTATTTGAATGCTGAAATTCTTGGATTGAAATTTGTAAAAAAGTTTGCAAGTGACCATTTCCCGCTCAGTTGCTGAAAGATAAAGAGATAAGCTTTCTAAATGAGATTGAGTTCCACGAATATGCAGGCTAGAAAGATGTGATTTGCTGCTATAACATGGTAAAAGATGTTTAGTTATTTCCTGTTAGATCCTATACCTAACAAATTAAGTTGTCTATGCATTATTAGTTTGATGTTCTTCATCTCTATAAGTTCTATCTATGTAGCACTTCAGCGTGCTGCAACTGTAAGAATGCCCTTTGGGCTTGATGATTAGCTGCAGCAGTTCAGCGTGGATTTATAATACACAGCAAAGTTCCTTGTGGACTTGCTGAAACTGAATGCAATATTTATATTTGTATTTTGTCTTTACTTTGAATTGTTGCATGAACAGGCTAAAGCAGTTGCTGATATGAACCAGCGTGACCTTCAAACTCAACATGAGCAAGAAGAGAGGCGTGTAAGTGTTGTAGTAACATAGAGATGCACTCAGTAGCATTACTGTGTACCTTCTTATATTTGCTCATATTTTTACATTTTGCACAATACTTTTTCTGTGTGGCTAAGAGTTGGGTGGTTGGAATGTTGTCCGTACCTGACATGTATTTGTCTTTAATATTGCCTGTTTGATTTTTTGTTCCATTTAGTAGTAACATTTAAGCTTAATTTGCAGAGGATTGCTGACAATGTGGATGCCCATATAAAGCGGTGGGCTGCAGGAAAAGAAGGCAACATGCGAGCATTGTTATCGTCATTGCAATATGTGCGTCATTTAACTGTCTTTTTCAAATATATATTCCTTGTTATTTAACTTTGAGCATGTTAATGTGCAACATAACAACTCAGTTGCTAAATATTTTCTGCATTGAATGGATTCTAGAATTAAAACATAATGAAAAGAAATCACATCATGTCACATTGATGAAATTGGATTATAGTAGCTTAATCACAAAGAGTATCATGCTGTTTGAATTGAAAGGTTTGGGAGGAGTGCAAGTATGAAGGCTATTCTTTTCTGAATTTTTTAAATTGTCCTGACTCGGCATTATTGATTGCTACTTATTCTTGCTAGCAGCTTGTACAAAAAGAAAAGGTGGGTAAAAAAAAAGGAAAGAAAAGAAAAGAAAAAAGAAATTAGTATATATGGGGAGCGTGAAAGAGACGGAGGAGAATTTCTACAAACATTATTTCTATGCGTAGTGGGGTTTTCTGACATTCTTCTGAAAGAATTCTTCTCTAAATTCAATCTGTTAGAATGTTTTAAATTATTTGCTGGTTGTAGTAAAATGCAGTCTGATTTTTGCTTCTGAAACTAGTCTTGAGTGCTGAAGAAATTCAGCTTTATCATTTGCATAATATATGTGCCAACACATTTTATGGGAATTATGAGCAGGTGCTTTGGCCTGAATGTGGTTGGGAGCCAGTTTCGCTGACTGATTTGATTACTTCTAGCTCAGTGAAAAAGGTTTACAGAAAGGCAACATTATATGTACATCCTGATAAGGTTCAACAGAAAGGTGCCAGTCTTGAACAAAAATATACTGCTGAGAAGGTCTTTGATATCCTCAAGGTAGAAGTTCAATTTTTGAGTATTTGAATACAAATAGACTGTTTGTGAGATGTTGCTGCATATCATTTCATCCTTTTTCAGCGGGATAGATTTCAAGATCTGAAAATTGAATTCTTATTAAATTCATTCTTATGACCAAGTACATCCCTTTCAGAAGCATATATTTTGTTAATAGGAAGTAGTTCAGTTCCAAGTGATTCTTCAAACATTAATTGCTAAATTATCCGAGTTAAATTTAATAATGTCTCCACTTTAACCCTTTGATGAAATCATGATAATGTTATGGGAGCCAAATGCATCATCTTTGCAAAGAAAAAAAAAATCCCTAACCTACTAGAAAGTGTGAGAGGGCAGGCAATATTTCTGCTTATAGTTTCCTTCTGCCTATCCAAATTGCCTTCTGAAATTCTCAGTTCTAGTTGCTTAGCTGGAAGTGCTTTTTAAGTAGTTTAATGTGAAAATGAGCAAGGATGACCTTTCGTAGTAACAGGAGGCACGTTTGTTTCCAATGGTGCTTAGAAACTCGGCACTGGAAGCAATATCTTAAATATCTTAAACATTCAAAGAATACCTAACAAATAGATTGTGTTGTAGGTGCAGTCAGAACTTTTTGGCTATCATGTGATGTAAATCAGTGAGCAATTGCATCTTAAATTCTAATTATTATTTTAGAATAAACATTCCTTGTCTGCAAATGCTCTTACAAGCCTTGCTGATAAGTTTTTAACTGGAGTCATTTAAGTATTCTACCTTGCATTTAGTTTCTCTGTTATTTATTCTACTGCGTTTTGCAACGAAACAGGAAGCTTGGAACAAGTTCAACAAGGAGGAACTTTCTTAAATATCCTTAATGGTTCATCCTGTTGCCTATTTGCGACACTCCATTCGGTTGTCACAGAACTTCCATTTTGGGGTGGATGATGCTTGTGCAGTTCCATTCTGCAGGTTCAGGTGCAATGCACTTCCAATATAACATGAGTCTGTTGATCTTAGCAGAGTGATGATCGGGAAAAGATCTTTCTTGTTTGTGCATGATGTTGTAAATTAAGCTTGTTTCTAAAAAGAATTACTTGTTACAACACTAGTGGAAACCATCCATTCTTCAGGGAAAGTTAAAACTGCCAAATACGTTGTGTTGATGGTAAGAATTTTTATGCTCTCTGTGATTTTTTATTTTTTTAAATCTATACAGAGGGAGTTGGAGATTTCTTTTCATTTGTGATAATGGTGTTTTCTACCAACATGTGGAATATTTCATTTGTGATATTCTCCTGGAGTTCTCATGGTTGCAGTTAATGATAATTGAGTTGAAAATTCCTGTTCTCTTTGTAACCTATTGAATCCAAGCATCCCATTCTCAAGGTATGTTTTTTTTTTTTTTTTTTTTTTCTTTGTAACTATTGAATCCAGCATCCCATTCTCAAAGGTATGTTTTTTTTTTTTTTTTTTTTTTTTTTTTTTTTTTTTTTTTTTTTTTATAAATTCTATTCCTGGTGAAACTTATTCTGATGTGTCTTGGAACTTAAGAAATTTAATTATATATATTATAATATATATATATATATAGTCTTGACTTGCAAAAAGTATTTTATTGTATGATTCTTCTATGGGATATTTTTTTTTTTTCTTTTATGTTTCTTACCAAATATTTATAAGTTCTCATAAAATCAAACTAAAAGTTGTTAAATGCGTAATTTTTGTTGTTAAATACCTAGTGAAAAGATGGAAATACCTTTATCAAATTACAATTAGACAATTTTCCTTCAACTTTCTTACATTTCGTTTTGTTCCAAATGCATAATTCCCCAAATCTGCAGCACCATCACCAAAGACCACTATTGCAGTTCAATCTCCACTCGCAAATCTTTTTCTCCATCAATGGCTTTCATTAAAACCTTTTTCCTTTCATCTTAATCAATGGTGATTCAAGCTTTCCCATTATATAGTAAATTCAAATTAATATTAATTATTTAACCTGTTATATAACGTATTGGGGAAAGTGAAAAAAAAAAACATTGTCAAAAAAATATAAATGGAACTATTGTTGTGCGACATTCAAAAGGAACATGAACAAATGTAGTTTAGCAAATATAAAAATTACAAATAAAATTGTCTATTTTAAAAGAAAATGGTAAAGTAGTTAATTTAGAAAAATGTAGAAATAAAATAGTAAATATCTCAAAATACAATTTAGTTGGTCCTACTAATTTATTGCATGGGCTTCAGTCGAACCAAGTAATCACATTTGGAGTCAAGACTGAAGTAAAAGTACGGGCTTTCAGTGATGGGTTTTACAAATTTTCTTTGTAGGAGAAATGATGGGCCTAGGAAATTTTCTTTTTTTGAATATTCCTTAATATTAAAATTTAGACAAAAATAATTTTAGGAAGAGAATGTAGAAAGGACGAATTAAGTTAAAGAAAATTATAGCCATATTTTTGTACAGATTCTTCCCTTTGAAAAAATTGATTGTGTTTTTTAAGCTATCTTTTTTTTTTTTTTAACTTTCTTTGATATAGAAGAATTTTTATTTGATAACAAAAATATTTTTCTAAAAATAAAATGTTGAATTTCACAAATATATTACAAATTTTCTTTTATATGAATGAAATCTATATTATTATAAATTTTAGGTGGTACTTGTTACAAAATATTAATTTTTTTTAGTATTAGCACAAGTTTCTCCGTAGATATGAAACTATTTTTATTACAGAGTTCGTGGTTGGCTCTTTCCGTGAGTGAGTGAATTTGTTTGTTTCAAATTTGACCTTACAAAGATCATCCACTAAATTTACAAAAATCATTAAATTCAAATGTTTCTTATCACTTTTTATACAAAATTGTAATTATAGCCTCTATTCGACAACAAGAGGGAGCATTTAGAGTTTTGATTACGTTAAAATACTGTTTTGTGAGTTATGTCGTTCGGTAAGGTAATATATAAAATAGCTATTAGTGGATAAGATAACATTTATTAAAATGTTAATTCATATAATATTTAGTGTTTTCATTTTTTGATTGAAATTTTTTTGATAATTCTATCCTTAATTAACTTATGTTATCCTTTATTAACTTATATTAACAATAGTTTAAAGCCATTCTTTTTGATAGTTGTTGTGGTACTGCAAGTCTATAATTAAGTTAAAAAAAAAAATACATTAGTTTTACATAAAAGTTAAATAAAATAATTTAATAATGAATTAATAAAGGAATATGTGAGGAAATTGTATTATTATTTTAGAAATGATAATGATTTCAATTTATATAACTGGACTACACACTTTATATTGATATTCTTTTGACGGAAAATTAATACTAACATGTTATATGAATTATTATTATTATTTTTTTTTAAATGAGTTCAATTCTATAGTCATATTTAAATATCTTTTCTTTTGTCATTTTAAATTCAACAACTATTTTTACCAAAAATTTTTACTCTAAATAGCTATATCAGTTAACATTTCGTAAAACCATTAACAGTTACTAAAACGACCGGTATTAGTTTTAGTAACTCCTTATTGTCCTCCACTCATCTCACCTTTCTTTTGAAAAATGTTTTTCATTTTTTTTTTTTTTTTTTTTTTTTTTTTTTTTTTTTGCATTCTCTTTTTTTTTTTTTTTTTTTTTTTTTTTTTTTGCATTCTCTCTATTGTTAGTTATACAATTCAGTCATAACTCCTTATGAGAATGGAAAGACAAATTGGTCAAGAAAATACTGAACAATCATGATTTTTTTTTTCTCACTATTATCTTGTTCATTTCATTTCATGTTGCTTCTCCACCTGGATGCACCAGAATCATCAGTTTGACACAGCTAACTCATCAATAGATTCGATGAATCTTCAACTCATTCTACTTAATTAATACTTAACTGGGGTCTTATCTTAGCACTAAATCACTAAGTCCATTAATGAAAAGATCACTTCACATATTAGAGAAAGAAAACTTGAAACCAATGTCCTCAGTTCTTGGAGTATCTTTTCTATTCTCTCCATTAACAAATAGGAAGAGAGCACTTCCTTATTTTTTGATAAGTTAGGTGGGAAAAAGATATAAAAATGGGAAAGTCGCGTTTAAGCTATAGCTAAAAGAAATTCACCACACCAACCCACTCAAGAAAACAAAGAGAAAATTAAGCACACCGGCTTAGACCTTGGAAAAGAATTACTAAAGAAAAATCCTTAGCAGTATTGATGATTGTGATGGAGGGCTCCACCACTTGCCGCCGGCGATGTGGCCGCCTTCCATTCCCACTAAACCGCCACTTAATTGTAATAAAGTTATCATTTTGAGCATTTAGGGTGCAATGAGACCACTTTTTATTCATGCACGTTGTAATACTAGTCATCACATTCATTTTATACTGGCTTGTGGTTTTTTTGTTTTGGTAACTAAAAAAATTATAATAAATTCAATGAGTTGAGTATAACAGGTGATAATGGGAATTATATTTTTATTTAGTTAATTATTTTTATTAGAATTTATATAAATTTGAGAGAGTGTATTCCTAAGATTAATTTAAAATAAAAATTAAAAAAAGTATTCTCGATATGCATAATTAATGGGATGATACCCTTATTGTAAAAAAAAAGAAAAAAAATATAAAATATACGCTTATCATATTTGCATTTATTTAGCAAAGCTTAGCAAGAATGCTCCCTGTCTCTAATTATGATTCTTTAATGTTTAGTTGTTTGAAATTGTATTACAGGGCACATGGTGTGTTTTTCCTTCTCATATCTATTTTAAATGCTATAACTGAGTCTGGAAAGTATTGTGGCAAGGAATATAATGGTGTTCAGTGTTCACACTTCACATGTTATGTCAAAATGTCCACATCAAATATTTTCAGCTTCAAGAAATTCATTTGGCATTTTATATTTTTAATTTTATAAAATTGATTACTTTCGGAATAAATTTTTATTAAAATTAATAATAACGACAACAACCAAGTCTTAACCATAAGAACTAGCATTGAACTTCTGAAGTATTAGCACAATGACGATCAGTTGCAATTCCACTATCAAAATTCCAATGGATGTACTGAAAAAACATAAGCAGCAGTATGGAATCCTTTTCAAAGTCTAATCTGAAAGGGAAAAGAAAATTACTTTGGAATCTTTTTTCCAAGTGTAATCTTAAAGTGAAAATTTAGGAATCTGTTGCTTTCATATGCTAAGGAATGATACCTACTAAACTCATTATGATTGTTTCTGTTCAGCTTTTCCCTTCACTACGATCCATATATACACATATCAACTTTTCCCCTCCAATTCTTTCTGTGCATTGATAGCATATATGAATGAAGCAGAAACTTGCACTGTTTTTAGTTCAAAACAGACTCATATCTAACATTTTCTGGTCCCAAAATATTTTTGTATTTAATGGTGACTAGCTATGAACTACTGATAACCAGACCACGTTCTGATGATTTTGTGTATATATAGCTTTCTGACGGATTGGATATGATCGGCCATGGTTTAATATATAGAACCTCAATGTATGGTCCTCCTAGCCCTTTTATTATTCTTCTCTTTTTGTCACTATCGATTTGAAATGTGCACTTTCAATGGTGATAGTGAAGATGCCTTATTTTGCCATACTATATACTATTCAAGTTCAAGCAGGGCCATTGAAAATGATAATAATAGAAAAAAGAATGAAATGTAAGGAATCTTGAGTGACTATCTCTTCAATTATTAATTTCTTCATACACCATCAATCTGTTGGTGTGTAGAAAAAAAAAAAGTTTTAGTAGTTATTGTCTGTGGTATAACTTGAAAGGTTGAGTGTTCGAATATGATAGCTTCTATGAGAGCTTGTGTGTAATTAAATTAACTAAAAAAGAAACTAGAAGTCAACATATGCAGAAATTCTTCAAGTTTGCATTGGAAAATAGGGAATTTGAGACCAATATGTTTTTCTTTTTCTTTTTTTTTTCTGTTGAACTTATGTTACAGAGATGGTCCCACATTTTGTTTGAGGGGAAGAAAACAAAAAAAAAAAAAAAAAAAAAAACATTTTTGTTTGAGGGGAAAGAAAAAAAAAAAAAAAAAAAAAAAAAAAAAAAAGATTAGAAACCTTCATAGCAATTAACAAAACCCATTAATGGGCATCCTATGAACATGAACATGAACAAAAACTAAAAACTAGGTGTTGATTTTTCATTTCTTGTTTACTGGAGATACCAATCAACTTGCATTGATCTAATAAGTGCTCTGAAATGGCTTGACTGTCTTGAGATCAGTAATAACACCAGCTATGGAGCCAGCAGCAGCAGCTATAGTAATAATAAGACAAGCAGCGCTTAGGATTTGGAGACAGAGCCATCTTGTACTCCATTTTGGTATTTTCTTCTGTGCTATGTACATTTCAACTGGAAAATAAACTGTTAATGGCCAAAATCCTAAAGCTCCAAGTAAACCCACTATGTCATTGAAGAAAGGAAGGAGCATTGAAATTACAGTGGTAAAAATCACAAAAACTGTCCTAAAAACCAATCTGAAGAGGTTAAGATTGTAGGAGGATTTTAAACCAGGAATTGGGATTTTAATTTCTTTGGTGATGAAGTCACTATCTGGGTATCTTTGAGCTGCTGTTTTTTCAATGAAGGCAAAAAGGGGTTGGCAGTAGACTTGGTATGCACCAACAAGGTGGACAACTATAGCAACATTAGCAATATCAAGTAGCCAATATGGGTTATAAAAACCAAAACCAGTTAGGAGATTTCCAGGGGACATGTCTCCAAATGCTGCATACCCAAAGCACCCACATAGCATATAGAAAAACGTTGTCACTGCTACACTTATTAGTGTTGCTTTCTTCATTGTCTTGGCCTCTGATGGTGGTGATTTGATCGTGTCCTGTTGAAGCCACATAATTCATAAAGTCAGATTTGTACTTTCAGTCTCATTATCATCAAGTTAAAGTTTTTGGTTAAGCTCTATAATACCTGAATTTCAATGAGGATGATGGAGTAAGAATAGGCGAAAGCGATGTCTCCAAGAGCTTGGAAGCTTCTCCATATTTTCTGAGTTTCAGTTACAGTGCCAATGGTTATTCCAGTAAAACTTCCCCTGATTTTTCCACTTTCTGCAACTTTAGCAATTCCAAGTCCAAGGCCAATGGTAGAGTAAGTGAAGGACATTACAGCAGCAAGAATAGAAAGCCACCATAGCTTTTCAAAATCTTGAATTTGTGAGAAAATTATTTCTGCTATTCCAAATGCAATCATGTAAGGATTTGCATTCATATGGCATGGATCTTTGCCTCCTGTCTTGTGGAAACAATTTGACCTCTTGACTGCCCTGTTTCATAGTAATAAATAAAAAAAAAAAAATTATTACCCAGACAATTTTAAAAAATGTAACCAAAAAAAAAAAAAAAAAAAAAACAAATTATTACCAGAAAATTTTAAAAAAATGTAACCAAAAAAAAAAAAAAAAAAAATGATCTAGTACTTACATCTATGCCTCTAAAAAATGTACCAAAAAAAAAAAAAAAAATGATCTAGTACTTACATCATGCTTATAGATGATGCAATTGTGTAACCAATGGCAACCCCCAAAAGATTTAAGTACTGGACATATCCACATATCTTAACCTTAGCACCTCCTGAAAATTAATTGAAATTCAAAATTTAGTGTAACAAATTAAAAAATCCTAAAAAAAAAACCAAATTTAAAATGAAATGAAATGTTTTTTGTAATAATAATAATAAAAAAAACATACCAAGATTTGATCTAACAGCATCCATGTAAGTGTAGTTTCTCTTGCCATTAACAGAATCCCCTGTTCTGTAGCAGGCAGAGAGCAGAGTAGAAGTATAATAAGTGACAATAGAGAACAAGAACATAACAGCAGGACCAGCAATCCATCCAAGCTGAGCTACAGCCCAAGCCAAAGACAAAACACCAGACCCAATCACAGCAGTAATTATATGAGCACTCGCTGTCCAAACACTTCCTGTCAAAAGAAAATAGAGGAAGAAAATAAGTAAAATAACTTTTGTATTTTTATTTAATTTTGCAAAACAAAATAATAAAAAAATACATTTAAATGGAAGGTATTTTTTAAAAAAAAATTTAAGATCAAAAACTAAGGTAAAAACAACAAGATACCAAATAGGCAGTAAAGATTTAATTACTTACCAGTTCTCTTGAGGCGGCCATCATCATCATACCATTTAGAGCCAGCTTGATTAGGCATATCAACAGAGACATTGAAAGGTTGTGGTGGAGGAAAACTTTTATCACCCATCTTTGTTGAAGAAAAGATTCCAACCAACCAAACAGAAAAGAACGTAATTAAGTTTTCTTTTCTTTCTTGCAGGAAATTAATAATGCTTCAACAAGAAAAAAAAAAAGAAAAGAATTCCTGTATCCGATACAAAAATATAAAGATTATTTCGAAGAAAATGATGGGTCTTGTTGTTTATTGGATCAAAGTCTAGTTAAGGCTATGGAGTTAAACTCTGAAACTAACAGTATTAATCTGACAGAAACACAGTTACACCTTCCCAGAATCACAAAATCCCAAAAGGATTTTCTTTTTTCAAGAAGAGAGTTTGCTTATAATAGTAATGATGATGATAATAAGAGGAAGAAAACACACTCTCTTTGGCTAGCTGTAGTGAGAAGAAGAAGAAATGATGGGATGCATAGGAGGTATTAGAGCAAGGTATATATAAACTATAAAGAGGGTGAGGAGAGGCAAATAATAATAATAATAATAATAATAATAAACCTGAAAGCCACGTGGTCGAAACGACAATTTAAGGGGTAGGCGTATTGTCAACGACCGACTGCATAGTCATCTGCCTTGACTGAAATAAAAATAAAAAAGCAACACCTCTCTCTCTCTCTCTCTCTCTATTGATCTCACGGTTTGCTACTGTTTAGTGCAAGATTCTCATACCCCACCAGAGAAGAAATTGTCGTTGTCCTCTCTTTTTCAAAACCAGATGCGTAATTTGTTCTTTCTTTGTAACTGCCCAAAAAATCTTTAGCTCAAAAGTAATAAAAATTTTGAAAAGCCACTGTTTTTCATTACCTTGCTTTTTTTTCTTTTTTTCTTCACTAGACAGAAAGTAACAGTTTGTAAGAGCTTTTTCTTCTTTTGCTTTATCAGATTTTCCCATGTTCAATTTTGACTTGTTAAGTACTTTTATATATATATATACCTCCAATTATTACAACTATGTAAGTTAACCAAACCGTCGGTTCAATTCAAAATTGAAATGTTAGAACAACAATTCAAATTTTTAAAATTAAGATTGAATTGAACCGAAATTACTTTGAGAATAGATTGAACCGAACTATATCAATTTCGTATGTTTTTTCGGTTTTTAGTCAAAGGAGTGAAAGCTAGCGCCGGGATTAAGATCAATTCTGTGATTGTGATAAAACCAATTACTTTTTTTTTTTTGGATTTAGTTCCCTTGGATGTATTTTCCTAAATTTAACCTGTTGGATTTTGTAAAACCAAGACGAATCACCTTCAAACTTCGGTTTGAACCGAAATAAATCGAGAACCAAACTTGTTGTGAGCGAGCAAACAAGCGAACAGTGTCAGTTTCTGTTCGTCATTTTGCTCGGCCCTAATATTCTCATATTTCTTTTGTATATTGGAGAGGGGACTCAGTAGGATGGTTAGTTGACTAAATTGATGATCTTGGGCGATGAAATGGTCGAACCAGATTTAGAAATGACTTTCTTGGTTTCGGTTCAACGCTTTTTCCTCTTTCTTTTCTTTTCTTTTTTCTTTTTACCCAAAAAACTCGGGAGAACCGCCACCGGAATTAATCAATCCCGATTAGTTCTTGAGCTTGAATGCTTAGAATTACAAGTATTCTTAGGGTATGTCAAGTCTAAATCCTTTCTTGGTAATTCTGAAAATGCACTCTTTTAATTATTTAAGATACTTTTTGATAAGAAAGTAGAGCTTTAATCTTTATCAATTAGACCGATCTGGTCGGGTTAACAGTATAAAAGAGATTTACCTCTACAATATAAAAGTTAGTAGTTGATGAACAAAATTCTTAAACCTCTCGAGAAGCAATGTTAGTCCTTATAGCAAGGAGATTGATTGAGCTTGACTCTGTAAGACTTGGTTGCATTACTTCAGTCTAGGCTACGCATCGCTTGGATAATATCCAAGAATCTTGGGTTGCTTTTGTTATTTACAAGAGTGCCTCATCATGTGCTCTCTTTTTTTTTTTTTTTTGGTTTTTTTTTGTTAATTTACAGAGTGCCTCATCATGTGCTCTCTTTTTTTTTTTTTTTTTTGGTCTTTTTGGCAAATATAATATTTTTTAGAGCATGTTCTCAAAAGTTAAAAAAAAAAAAAAAAAAAAAAAGGTAAATTAAGAGTAACTAGTACTTTTTTTATATAAGTGTCTAAAAAGGGATTCCCCTAACAATATATTTCCTTTAAAAAAAAAAAAAAAAAAAAAAGGGTAAATTAGAGTAACTAGTACTTTTTTTATATAGTGTCTAAAAAGGGATTCCCTAACAATATATTCTTTAACTTTAATTTTGGCGTGCAATAAAATCTGTAAATCAAATTTATGTATGAACACTAAACTACGCAATAATATTATGAAACTCATAACCTATAATCTGATAGACGAGTCATACATCAAAAGCTATAAATATATATATATACACAAACGCTTTTCAATGGGTATAAAATTTTCCTTCCTCATATGTTTAATAGAAAGAAAATATTTATAATAGTTATGTGAGGAAGTACTTTTCTTGCTTTTGAGAGGTGGGAAAAAAAAGGTTTCCAACAAAATTGCATGAAAAGTTATAAAAAACAAAATCTACCTTGTATCATATTACACATATAAAGACAAGATCTTACCTTCATATTGGAACTTTCTTTAATTTCTTGCTTATTACACTCCTCTATCAATGCAAGAAATTGATTAAAGCAAAGAAAAAGAAATGTATAATGGAAGGGTTTTTGATAATTTGCTTGCGATGGGTGTCTTGGGATCAAAATCTCTAGGCTTTAAATAGAAGAAGGAAAAGGGACTGGACTTAATATTTTAAGGCCATTTGTCTCTCTAAAAAGACCCTTTGAATCAAAATTCTCACCTGTATAGCTCTCATCCATCGTTATTGTTAGAGAATAAGGTTCTTTCTCTAATTTATTATTCATTATTCATTCCATTAACAAAAGAGTATAAACATATGGAGTAATGAGTGGATAGAATGCATACATAAATCAGTCAAATGTTTTCTTTCTTGGTCTGCACTCAAAACAATAAAAACATGATGTTACCACTTGGGCTTTTATTTATTTATTTTGAAAAATAATTAGATATATATGCAAAATAATAATAATAATAATAACTAATTGCTATTGATGTTACCATTTAAGCTTTTAGTTATTTATGTTTAAAAAATTATCAAACATATATGCCAAAAAAAATTAGTAATTTTAGAAATAAAAAGATGATATTACCATTTAGGCTTTTATTTATTTATTTTTAAAAAATGATTGTAGAAATATGCGAAAAACATTGATTGCTATTAAGGGGTAGACAACTAGTATTTATTCTCATCTTTATAGTTCCCAATGAACGAGGAAAGAAAGGTTATTATGCAAAGACACGCTTCACTATTGGAGATACTGTCTTTGAATTATGTTTGAATTTATTATTCTTTTATTATTATTGTTCTTCTTTTATTTTGGTTGGTATTTATGAGCCTCTCTTTCAATGGAAATATGGTATATTTTCTGATCTTTTCTTTTATTATCTTAGAAGAGTTCAACATAAATTGGACTGCCACTAAATATTATATTTCAAGTTTTAATTATATGCTTTTAGCTTGTTAGATTTTTTGCTTGATTATGTTTGTTCAATATTGTTTTTTTTTTTCCATACAATTACTATATTACAATTATTATTATACATCATTATTTGCAGTAGATACAATAGTTTTAAGTCCATCAAGAACGGTACAATTTATTATAAAGTCCATTCATTAAAGGGCATTACAATCCACAAGAGGAAGTTATAAAAATATATACATCTCCTAAGAGTAAACTAAATTGGAAAATTAGCTTGCTGCCTTTGTTATTAATTAAAATTAGATATGGAAAGATAAATTATAAAAATAATTATTTTACCATTTAATCAAATTAAGTAATTTGATTACACCATACTAGAAAATAAAGTTGATTTTTAATATGATTTTATCTAATAAAAGACAAACTAATTAAAAAATTAATATGAATAATAAGATTAATTAATGAAAAATATTCAGCAATATTAAGCTATTCTAATTAGTTATAAACATAACTTATTTTTTGGGAATGGGATTTTACTATTTCTCATGTCTATAAAGAAGCTAATGGGAGTGCTGATTTTTTATCTAAGCTTGTTAGAGTCTACACTTTGGGTGTACACTATATTTCAGAGTTACCGATCGGTCCTCAGAATGTTTCATTCTATAATGATTGTGGTATAACTCAGACAAAGTTTTTTATCGAGCGTTTAAAACTTGACTCTCTTCTTTTATTTAAAAGAAATTAGTTATATGAGTATTATTTACATATACCTATCACGTTTAAATTATTGCCTCAAAAGTAAATTAAGTTCAAATTAAAATTTTAATTAATAAAAATTTATTATAAGCTCGGGCTTTCAAAAATAAATAAATAACTTTAAAAAATCCACCAAATGTATCACTATGCTAAGGGTGGCGTTGACAGTGATTATTAGTTTAAAAAACCAGTGGGATTACCTAATTAAATTAATCGATCAAGAAAGCTAATTATCGCCCCAATAAGAGTAAAAAATAATAATTAAATGGCTTCATAATTCTAGCATAGTAATAGAATTTATTTTCGTCCCAACACGTGGCAAGTCCATCGACACACGTTGGGCATTCTGGTTACCTCCTTGCTTTGAGGATTCACCGTTGCCAAGATAAATTGATAAGATAAAAAGGCATATATAAATGCTTAATCTTTAAGAAAACATGAACTTTTCGGATTTTTTCAAATTTGGCCAATATTTTTAATTTTATCAATTGATACTTTATTTTTATTTTTTATTTGTGAATTCTGACTTTTGTCGAGAATTCGATTGAATGCAGTTAAGTGATGCAGCTCTAAGAGCGAAGAAATCTACTTGGCGGACTTTAGGGTCGCTAACAATTTGAGTTGCTCGCCAAGTGTTCATCCAGAGTCTGTTAGTTGTAAAATCATACCAAATTCTTTCAAGCTTGTGGTGATATAGAAAAGAGATTGTTTCAACAACGCAATCTCTCAACTTAGAGATTTTAAAAGTAAGGATGAACCACTAGAGAATAGTCATGTGGATTTATATTGGAGTGCTGTGGGACCAATTATTTGCCAAATAAATAACAAATTAATGGACTCTGGACGAAGATTATAATTGACAAGGAAAATAAGTATGAGATAATAATTGACAAAATTAAAAGTATTGGCTAAATTTATCAAAAACATCAAAATTTAAATTTTTATTTTGGTGATTCAGTCATATATAAGCTTTCATAGCGATATTTCAGATTTGAAATTTGTAGTCACTGTTACTAGAAAGATTTATTTTAATTACGTTCATTAGAAAATTTTATCTGAATATTACCTCAACCCTCAACGTAAACAAGTGTATATGAATATCAACGGCAAGAGGTCAATTTGGTAATCAAGTTTTACTATGTATTATAACTATTCGATTTTGATAATGTAAGTTGCAATCAAAAGATGCAAAACTAATTTTGATGCTTTTAATTGCTTAATTTGCCATCTCTCTCACCTTTAATGGTGGGGATAATTTCCGATGAAGATGACAAAATTCCAAGCCAATATAGAGATATGCATTGCATGGGTTTCATCTTCTACACATCAATTTATTGCTTTCCGATGCATTACGAATCTTATGTTTTGATAAGTTAGCATTTTTCTTTTTTTTGGTAAAGGTTTTCATTAAGAATCTTTACATTATTTTATGATAATCATGTTTAGTTTGATTACCATTTACAGAAAATACTAAGGTAAAAGAAATTGGATCGATGCGAAATAATAAAATTGAGAACTAGAGAAATCATTTACTTACCTTGCCTTCAAAAAATTAATTTGAATTATATCCAATTTTAAATATATATTTTTCCACTTATTTAAAATATTAATATGAATATGAAGATCAAAACAATCTACTGGTGAGTGCATGAATGTTTAAGTTTGAATTCTCTCTCCCCCAATATTAAAATATATATATATATTAATATGAATAAGTACTTGAGAAAAATATGAATCAAATGATAATAATTTATCCTCTAAATCAAGAAAGAGTCAATACAGTTGGTAATAAAATATACAAAAGAAAGAAATTATGTTTGTATTATATTTTATTCTTTGTATTTAATTTTACGAACCAAACAAGCTCCGTAACGCAAACGGGAAACATGCATGAAATTCCAGAATAGCTGCCAAATGTTATGAAATTGTAATTTCGACTCCCATGGCTCTACCTAATTCCATCTCATAGTAAATTCAACGTTAAAAATGAATAAATAAATAAGGAAAGCACAATATTTTATTTTTTTAATCATGAAAAAAAAAAAAAGCGACGTAAATGAACAAAGGGTTATCAGAGAAAAATCAAAAAGAGCATCATACCAAACATGTCATATCAGTTGGAAATGTTCTTCTCTGTATAGTCTCAGCTGTATTCTTTGACTGTATATAGTTTTTATTTATATTCCTCATGAAAAAGCTCAAGTAGATCGATCTCTCGCTATCTCATAAAGCCAAAAGCACCTTCATTATATTTATATTTTTTTCAATAATTAATAATCAATTTGTTAAGAAAGATATACTCAGATTACGTGCAAATACTCAATTAATCTAATAACCAGTGATTAATATAAATTAATCACGTTTATAAGATATTTTTGTACAATTAATTTAGCATCTTTTTAAAGCAACCTTTTATGTTTTAATAAGTGGTAGGTGAAACTCAAAAACTCTGCTAAGGTTAGGTACGTAGAATTCATTTACAAATTACAAAACTTAATTTAGTTTCATAAAATTCAATCTGTAGGAGTTAAATAGATAAAAATACTTATATCGAACGTGAAATATTGAATTTTAAACAAATTTCATAAAATCCATATATATGGAATCCAAAAACCGTCTCGTACGTAACTGCATTTGATGTATAATTTTTATATAGCTCTAAGTTGCAATTTGAATTATTGGAAATTTTATTTGGATCGACATATTCAGCCCACAACAGTTTATTTACCAACAAAATGGAGAACTTAACTATTTGATCGTTAATATTATTATGAGGGAGCTCTTTATTCCTATCTAAATCTGCCAAATTAAACTATTAAAGTTTGCTTTTAAAGAAATTAATTAATTAATTATAGAAAAATCAATTAAAGTATCAACTTTCCAGCCTATATTAGGAATAAAACATACAGAAGATTTCTTCCAGCTTTACAACACAAATATTAATTGATCTATATTTTGTTTAGCGAAATAAATAAACATAGAAACATTATCAATTTTCATTGGATTTGCACCATAATAATAATAATAATAATAATACAAAAGTTCTAGAAAAAGAAAAAGAAAATTTCATTTTGGATAACTCCAGAGCCATGTAGAAGTTCTTCTCTATCTGATAATTTCCTAACAGAACATGTGCATGCAAATGTGAATAAGATATGCCCACTTGTCCATATCCCTCTCCATATGCTACCACCAATTATATGAAAACTGGCTGAGATGTTGGAATTATGGTTAAGGAGTGTCCTGAAACTTCTATAAAATAAAAATTTTCATTTATTTCAAGACGAAATTAATATGATTATAAAAAAATAATTATTTGAGATTTCCATTCACGATTACAAGAGACTCAACCAGAACTCACATTGATTAAAAAATTATATGTACATGGATTTTCATTTATTTATTTAATCAATCAGAATAAATAATAATTGTGAAAAGAAAATATATTAAGGAACAAAAAGAAAA